CATTTAAAAACTATTTTCTGATGCATTAAAGAAAAAAAGTTTGCTTTTTGATGATAGCACATATAAACAACTTTAACAATAACTTCTGTTTTATTGTATTTCGGCATGCCATTAAATATTTTGGCAGGGCACTTTGTATCAACACCACCTCCTATACTGCGGGTACTTCCTGGGGTGTCTGTTACCTGGCTTTCTATGGGATTCCATCTCCATGGCTGACTGCTTCATTTTCTGTTTGTCTTACCCTTCTCGGGATGTGCTGTATTTATCATGTGAATTCCTTAGTAATTCACTGCCTCTTATATATACCAATTCAAGTTTGTTTTTCTGAAATGGGAGCAGTGGCATTCTGCAATATCCAGTAGGACACAAAACAGAATCTCATATGTTTGGAAAGGTACTTGCTATGCTCCTGTGTTAATTCTCAGTCACTTACCTGAATTCTGCAAAACAGATTCTAATCTGTAATATAGTTAAAGGTCATAATATGAGAACTGAGTTAAATTTACATTAGTAAGTGGCTGGCATTAATACATCTCTTAGAGGGGAGTTATATAAAGGAGGAGGAAAACCAACTAAAAAGCCCTTCTATAGAGTCCTTTAGGCACACTGGTGACAGTAAATGACTGGATATGATTATCATGCTTAAAGCCATCAACTTCGTTAATACCTATTCCCTGAACTGTGACGTTCAAAGGGGTTTTGAAAGGTCATTTAGTACTTCTCCCTAGCTTTGACCAAAATCTAAAATAACTGCAGAGTACTGTAAAGTCGTGCTGTTTTTTTAGAGACTTTCTGAAAGGAGATTTCACAGTCTCCCACAGAAATACAATCGGGTTTTTAACAACCCTCATTATAGAAAAGGTCATTGTAATATCTAACCAGAGTCCCAATTGCTATAATAAAAGGTCATGTCCTCTTTTTCAGTTCTTGTTAAAGATGGTGAAGAGTTGGTTACTAGCTTCATCATAAACGAATGGTCACTGAGCACCCACCCAGACCATAGGCCTCTTCTCTCCTTATAACGCACTTTATGTGTTCAAGATCACCAGGAAGTCACTTTACAGCTCTCTTTTCTCCAGGCCAAATGAACCCATAAACATTTCCTCTCCAGGGTCCCAGTTTCCAGCTCTCGATTAATCTTCGTAGGCTTCCCTGCAGATGTTCTGTGTCCCTTCCAGCAGTGAGCACATTCCTCAGTAGTTTCTAATTTGGAATACAAGAGAGTTTGCAGTCAGTTCTCTGCATTGTTTGTGGGGCTTGGGGGCTTTTTTTAATACCTGTAGATTGTACACAGTAATTTTTGCTGCCACCTGGTGAGTCCTCCTAAGCTTTGCCTAAAGCTTTTGTGACTCTGGGACAGAGGAAAATAGGGAAGAAGAAAACAGGAAAGAGATTTGTAACACATTGATATGTAAAGCTTCATTTATGAAACAAAGTTGGGAAAGTATCCTGTGCCCACAAAGAGAATAGCCTGCTCAGTTAGGGCTTTTGTTCAAAATGACTTTGAGCAAACCAACCAGCCACACTGTACTTGAAAGACTGGATAGGCATAATCATATGGGTAAATGTAAATGAAAAGAGAATCCTGGCAGCAGGGGTTCTAAAATCAACCTAAGACAGTGGTTTCTTTGATATTTCTCTTCTTGCAGTTGGAGGCCAGGCAAGCAATCAGTAAATAGCTGTTCGTGATGATTGGCAAGGTTCTCCGGGAGATTATAGCGATATTGCAGCTTTTGAAGAGTTTAAGGCAGTTAGGGAGAACAAAGCACCTCACTGGCATTTGGAAAATTAACAATCACAAGTACAACCCTGAAATGAGATCTAGGAAGCACAAGTGATACCAGGAGTTCAGAAGACCATGGGGCAGCAGCACTGGCTGGATTGGCTAGGACAGAGTCACCTTAATGGGAGAGGAGGACCCTGCACTGGGTACCGTGACTGATGGGTAGATGGAGAGGGCTAAGGTCTAGATGCCTAGGGGAGTTGGGGGAGTATATATTACACTGACCACTACATATGGCCTCTTGTTAGCAGGCATCCATCTAACAGAGATATCAATTACAATTTCACTTGGGATGAATGATAATGCAATAAAGGGCTGAAAACCAGTGCACAGGAATGGTCATGGGAAAAAGCTGTCAGTCCCTGGGAATTGACTGCACCTTGCAGTCCTGTTGCTGGAGCAATTCTCCCAGAAAAGAGGGGCAGAAACTTCCAAGGTTCTTTAGGAGAAATGAGTGTGTGCTTGTGTGCATGTGTGTATGTGATGATTCTGCAGGGGCACTGCTCAACTGCACATGTGCTTATACATACACACCCCTTTCTCCCTTCTCTCATGAAGCCAGAGTAAAAAATCTAGAACTAAACCTTGGGGCTAGTACTGGACACATGAAGGAGAATCACTTCAACTTTTGTAAACACACAGAAATCCTTACAAAGAAAGCCACTGTATACTCTTGGAAAGAAAGATCAGAAAACAGTGGAATGGAGGTATAGGTGGGAAGAGGAAAAAGAATGAGGTGAAGTACAAGCAGATAGATGGAAAAGAAAAGAGTAAAACAGAAAAGAAGCCCAATGACCCAACTGCAGAGGAATGTGAGCTGTAGGTAAGGATGTCTGATTGCAACCCCTGAGGTGTAAAATGTGGCTTTGAGGACTTGTGTATACGTCTGTGGCTGCACTTGAAATACCCAGGTCTCATCACTACCCTGTCCTTACCACCTGTAGATAGGAAATGACTGAGAATATGGGCCATGTGTTAATTCATCTATGCATCCTCATTGCTGCTCCTCAATAAATGTTGAGTTGGTGAAATACTGTAAGCTGAACTTTGTAATTCCTAGGACAAATTGTTCTGTAAAATAATTACCTCTTTGCTCATCTCTCCATAGGTATCCCTTTCCTCTGCCGCTTAGCTTATAGGTCATGCTGTCCCAGTGTTGGGGTGAGCCTTAGGGGAACCAGTGCTCACCATGGAGGTTTCTGTCCCCTCTTTCCCTACCCTGTCTCTGAAGTTCCTCTATTCATTTTTTAAATAATATGATTTAGTATTTTATTCCTTTAAGTCAAATGGATTCTACAAATGTTCCTGGGAGAGGAAACACACTGAGCCATATCAAACATTGATACTTTGGTCTGCAGGTATACAAAGGGTCATTCCTACAGCAGGATCTATATCTGGAGGTTACCTGGTTACCGGGTAGGTAGGAAGTGGAAACATAAAAGACAAAATGGCAGCCGGACGCTGTGGCTCACACCTGTAATCCCAGCACCTTTGGAGGCCGAAGTGGGTAGATCACAAGATCAGGAGTCTGAGACCGGCCTGCCAACATGGTGAAACCGCATCTATACTAAAAATACAAAAATTAGATGAGCATGTTGGCATGTGCCTATAATGCCAGCACTTTGGGAGGCTGAGGCAGGTGGATCACAAGTTCAGTAGTTCGAGACCAGCCTGGCTAACATGGCAAAAACCCGTCTCTCCTAAAAATACAAAAATTAGCCGGACCTGGTGGTGGGCACCTGTAATCCCAGCTACTCGGGAGGTGGAGACAGGAGAATCTCTTGGAGCCAGAAGGTGGTGATTGCAGTGAGCCGAGATCGTGCCACTGCACTTCATCCTGTGCGACAAGAATGAAACTCCATCTAAAAAAAAAAAAAAGACAAAATGGCAATCCAGGGGAACAAAGATAACTTGTTCCTGCTGCTTGGTTTTTTGTCTTAGCCCAAATCCATTTCCAGCCCAGGTGGTTTGCCCTGGTCATCCTCCTGGCTTCTGGCCTTTATTATTTTAGTACCTGGAAAACTGAGAATGTCTTTGTCTCCACTTTGTCAACTCAGCAACAAAGCAGCTGCATTCTGCATGCTGCCAGGCTGTTTCTCTGTATGTGCTCATTTGCTGAGCAGGTGTGTTCTCCCCAGATACACCTTTTAAGGTGAGAGTGTCATCAGTCAACAGTGCCCAAAGAACTGGGCGAAGGGGAGGGAAAGTGTTAGTTGGTTTCAATCCAAAGTTCCCTCACTGCTTCCCATACTCTGGCATGATGCATTTGCTGTGTTCTGTAACCTCTATCTACTCTGGGTATAATTATTCCCTCCAAGGCACTTAATTGAGTAGAGGGAAGGTGGGAGCTTAAGAATGATAGTTGCCCTCCTTCTTCCCCACATGACACAGGCACATGTGGAAATTGGGGTTGACATTGATCATCACAGCCATGGTTCTGGGTGGTTGGAGCGATAGTCTCCATCCCTGTCTCTCTCACATTTGAATCATCATGAAGCTGAAACGGAAGTCTAAATCACACACAGTTTCTCACCAGCGACCGTGCTGTTCTAGTTATTAAATGTATTTGATAAACCTCTGACCTTTCAGATGCTGTTCTTCTTTTATTTTTTGATGGTTGTGTTCTCCCTTGTGAATTATTTTTATGTGTTTATTGCCCTATTACTGAACTAGTTCTGCTTGGTTTCCTTGTTCACTCTTTGACTTGGGAGCACCTCATTTTACAGTCCACTAACTTTGTTGAAAATAAATTCACTTTCCTTGGGTGGTTAGTATTACTCATTTGATAACTTAAGTACCACATTAGGGTGTGGTGAATGCATAGTAAGTGCTGCACAGTTACAAGGTAAATATATGATGGGTTTATTTTATCCTGTAAGCCCAACACGGGGTGACAGAGTAATTACTTTGGGACCCATTAAGTTACTTACCACATAATCTGTCAGAAGATGAACTATGTAGTTAGCACTTGCCACCTTCCATTTCCACACAACTTCTAAGATCACACCTCTTTTAGGATGACGTTCTCTCACATGAATCTCATATGCTGTATTGCAGGAGGCATTATGGATCTGCTACAGGAATAACCATACCCAATGCCCATCTAGAAGAAAGGGTGAAAAGCAGCTACAGCACATCTTGGGGGGTGGGGAGGCACCCCCATTCTAAATTCAAACTAACGCTTTTATTTTTGCTTTGCCCATGCATTCAATAGGATGGAGTAGGAGAGGTATGGGAGAAACAGCATGTGCCGTCTTAGCGACCAGTCCTCTTCCACAATAAATTATGAGAGTCTAGCATTTAATTGGTGTCAGAAAACATTTACCATGGACATAACAGCACCTGGGACCAAGACCTTCATATTCCACAATAAAATTCTCTCATAATGACTGTGACCCCTAAACTGATGTTGTCAGTGTACTCTTAATCTGAATGATTTATGCCAAAGCTAACATTCATATTTGTGAACTCTGGTCTTTCTCTCAACTCATAGACTGTGTTACCTCCTTGCCCCAGACTGCTCTCTGCAAATGCATGTGCCCCAGGTTTCATAAAAGCAGAGAAGATCACCCATGTTTTATCATTGTGTGTGAGTCTGCCCTCGCTCTGATAAAAGTAAAATGTAAAAATTGTTCTGCAGAGAAACATGATGTCCTAAAATGTTAAGGAGGTGTTTGCTTTTACTAGAAAAAAAAATTATTTTCTTTGCAAAATTGATTCTCAAGAGTCTATTACATGCTAAGCTACCTTAATGCAGTTAAGATGTTTGCCTAGCATCCCTTTGATTTATACAAGGCATTTTAGCAACACAATTATTGTGTGAAAGGGAGTACAACTTGAGTTCACTGTACATATGTCATTTCTCTGAGCAGTAGCTCCAAAACTCCAATAGCATTTCCTTTTGTATCCCTGAGTGGGTCTTTGGCTTTGTGCCCATGCTGGTCACTTACCATTTCTCTTATGTCTTTCAGGCATTGAGAGTGCCAGCGACATTGCTTTGTACTCGGGCTTGGGCGCTGCCGTCGTGGCCGTTGCAGTCCTGGTCATTGGTGTCACCCTTTATAGACGGAGCCAGAGTGACTATGGCGTGGATGTCATTGACTCTTCTGCATTGACAGGTGGCTTCCAGACCTTCAACTTCAAAACAGTCCGTCAAGGTCAGCGGCGTAGGTCCCTCCACACCTCGTCCTCATTGCCATAGACTACTCTCACACTGGACCCCAGACTTCTCCTGGGCCCCGTGTGAAGGTAGCTCTTGGCACTGGGAGCCGCTACCAAATTGTCTTCACACATGAACAGACCAGGCTGGGCGAAGTGGTCTCCTTAGGTCCTTGTCTGTCGCAAGGACACAAGGATCTCAGTTTATTATCAGCAACATTTTCAATGAGGCATTTCCATTTTTGATGTATGGTGAGCCTAATGAGGTATTTTATTTCAAATTATCCTTCTTTTTAAAAAGTCCCTTTGAGGATGTATATTTAATTTAGTTAACTAAAGTACTGATTATTTAAGACTGAGGACTAACACCTATATCACAACCTCCCAGTTATATTTATTATCCTATTTATGAAGTGGAGTGATTTTGTTATTTCTATTTTGAATACATAAACAGACTTTAGAGAATAGATGACGGGTCAGCTAGCCAGGGGAAAAAAAATGAAATTCCAGCCTAAATGATTCTCAGCTGCTGCCAAGTCCAAGCAATCTTTAGTTGTGGGGGAAGAAAAATCTATCATGTCAAACTGCAGCAATACTCATTTTCAAAACAGAGTCATTTAATTCTCTTATAGGAACCAAATCTATTCCTTATTGCAAGGTAGGGATGAAACATACACAGCTTTCATTTTAGAAAAAATGAAACTGTTTCTCTTCAGAGGATGAAGATTTTCTATTTTGACCCTCATCATCACCTTTATTTCTGTTTATTGTGTATCAGTGGTGCCTACAGCTCGGAACCAGGAGTCTCAATGCAGGGCAGTGATTGAGTAGACAGGCTTCCGAAGTAGAAACACAGGCATGCTGGAAAAAATTAGGAGGTGGCCAGACAGATGAGTACCTTCCCTCTTGCCATTTACTTCTGGGGACCTCAGAGTTAGGCCTCAGAAGGGACACATCCCCTGCTTTTGAACATAGAGTTTAATATATGTAGTTAATTGGAAATAAATCAAAATCTAGAACTGAATTTCTTTTAAGTGGTGTTACCCAAGCTGGAGTGCAGTGGTGTAATCATAGCTCATTGTAGCCTCTAACCCATGGCTTAAGTGATCCTCCCACCTCAGCCTCCTGAGTAGCTGCCACTGCAGGCACATGCCACCCCACCAAGCTAAGTTTTTTTAAATTTTTATTTCTTTTATATGGACGGGGTCTCACTATGTTGCTCAGGCTGGTGTTGAACTCCTGGCCTCAACCAATCCTCACGCCTCAGCCTCTGAAAGTGCTGGGATTATAGGAATGAGCCACTGTGTCTGGTCAAGAACTGATTTTTATGCTACATAAAAACTAGAAATATTTTCATCAAATAATAAAATACCAATATCTTAGACCATAACATTTGAAAACAGGAGCTATATTAGTGTGAGTGATAGTTTTGTGTATAAGTCCACCAGCTTTGAAGTTAGATTTTACTCTAAAACTGCCATCAGTTAATCCATTATCCTCCTGAGTCTCAATTTTTACAGCTACAAAATGGGGTTAGTAACATTCACCTCAAAGTGTTCTTGTGAGGATGAAATTACCTGAAATAACATGGGTAAGCCCTTGGCATATGGAAAGTGATCACAAATGCAGTGAGGAGAGTTCTATAAGCTGGTTACTTCCTCTTACCCTAGGACAGGATTCCAGTGGTTCCGTGGAGCACCAGGCAGCAGGTGAGAGGGGTGAATCCCTGGCTTACACTTGTCTGGGGACTGCTGACTTGCCTATACTCAAACACAACTTATGTGCATTGTGAATCTCTAAGACAATATATAGTCTTACCAAACTTATCTGACCATTTTGTTTTATTTTTATTTTTGGCCAATATTATATCACAAAACTAATGATATAAGCAAAAATCCTTTGGTAAATGCAACTCTCTCTGTCTTTACTATGGTGATCTGCCTCATGCCAATATCATGTGGTTTTCACCTCCACTGTCTTAGAGAGATTCGTTCTTGAGCAATACATTCAGTGCCCCAGCAAGGTGAACAGCGAGCCAGTTAAATAGAATGCCATACATAGAATAGACCAGGTACTTGAAAAAGGATTTCCAAAGAGAAGATTGGGGTGACCAGAAGTGGGTGACCGGTGCTGGTCAGACTTCAGTTAAGCTGGCAGCCAATTTCCTCCCACCATGGATACTATCATATGTATATATGTCCAGAATCAGGCATTTCCCACTCAAGTGCTGTCTCACTCTAGGAAATATTTTTGCTTCTGTGTGTTGCTTAGGCTAGGAGGATCTTCTAAGCATAACAAAAAATTAAATTACAGAGGCTAGGGCTTGAGATAAAATAGCCAGGTGGGGCAGGCACAGTGGCTCACGCCTGTAATACCAGCACTTTTGGAGGCCGAGGAGGGTGAATCATGAGGTCAAGAGATAGAAACTACTCTGGCAACATGGTGATCTCTACCAAACATCTCTACTTTAAAGTGATCGCTGCTTTAGTAGAGACAACATGGTGACTCTACTAAAAATACAAAAATTAGCTGGGCATAGTGGTGCACACCTGTAGTCTCAGGTAATCAGAAGGCTGAAGCAGGAGAATTGCTTGAACCTGGGAGGCAGAGGTTGCAGTGAGCTGAGGTCGCATCCCTGCACTCCAGCCTAGAGACAGAGCAAGACTCTGACTCAAAAAAAAAAAAAAAAAAAAAAAAAAAGCCAGGTGACTGAGGCAGATAGTTTCTGAGGTCTCTGTGATGGTGCCTGGGCCTTGATACAACATGCCCATGCGTGGGGTGGAGGGAAGCATCAGCAAGGATCCTTTAGCTCTATAGCATCCAATTTGTGTATGTATTTTTCTCTGATTCTGGATTCTTGGAGCATCAGAAGAAGAGGTGGGAAAAGTCAGGGTGATAGATTTCCTGCTGGTGTTGCTGCAAATTACGAAAATGGAAAAATAATAAAGGCTTATACAATATGGCCCAGAATTGCAACATTTTCAAAAAGATCATACTTTAAACATTTTTGTCAGGCCCCAAAGGAAAATTGTTTGATACGGTTTGGGTTTCAGTTTGAGATGTCATATTGACGGACTGATATGGGTGGGAAGCTTGGGACTGCGGGTTATTTTGTTATTTACTAATAAATGAGATTACTTCATCACAAGAAAATATCACAGCATTTCTTTTTAATATTTGACTTGGAAAAAATTGGTGGGCCCCAGCAGATGACAAAGCCCCATTTCTCATGTTTTTGCAAAGATGTTATATATTGTTTTCCCTTTATTTTGAGACAGAAAGGGAACCATTCTAAGCTGCTCCCCATGTAGAATCTAAGCCTCTCACTGTCTCTGGGTGGTGCATTCTTTTCCTCACAGGGTGACATATGAGTTATTAGAGCAAATTGGCTACTCAGATGTGGTGGGATTCATGAGGTGCCCTGAACCTTTTGCTCTGAGGACACATCATTTCCTCCCCAGCTTCAGAATCTGCCCAGAATTCCATATGAAATGCACTGGAACCATGTAACTTCGGTTATAAACAGCACTACCTAGTCACCACACTGTGTCAACTCTTGCCATTTAAAATGAACAGATGTTATTTTTGCTCCAAACTGGACTGCAAAACATCTTCCTTCCTTTTTTTTTAATTTTAGCTTTTCTTTGCCAGTAGAAATTATCACATAAACAATAATACCTAAGTTCATTGCCTGACAGAGTGCCAGAAATAACTAGTTCTGAAAAGATAGCATGGAAACATCTCTGGAAAGTGAAAGATTTGGGTCAGTGGTATTTAGAGAATGGACTCAGAAAGCCAGGGCTCTTGATTCAAAAGTTCTGCTCACTAGCACCCAACCTTGCAGCGTGGGCCGGAAGAGCTAGCTTGGATTGGAACTGCTGGCACCCATGCAGGCTGTTGTGCAGTTTGTAGAGGCAGAAGTACAGGAGTAACTGAGATGCCTTTTAGTTTCTGAGTGACAGATCACTTTTCTTTTACCAGGTAACTCCCTGCTCCTGAATTCCGCCATGCAGCCAGATCTGACAGTGAGCCGGACATACAGCGGACCCATCTGTTTGCAGGACCCTCTGGACAAGGAGCTCATGACAGAGTCCTCCCTCTTTAACCCTTTGTCTGACATCAAAGTCAAAGTCCAGAGCTCATTCATGGTTTCCCTGGGAGTGTCTGAGAGAGCTGAGTACCACGGCAAGAATCACTCCAGAACTTTTCCCCATGGAAACAACCACAGCTTTAGTACAATGCATCCCAGAAACAAAACGCCCTACATCCAAAATCTGTCATCACTCCCCACAAGGACAGAACTGAGGACAACTGGTGTCTTTGGCCACTTAGGGGGGCGCTTAGTAATGCCAAATACAGGTGGGTGGTGTGTGTGTGTTTGTGCATTTTCCAACATTTGTTTAAACGTTTTATTTTTACACAGTTACTTCCCATCAGATTCATTTTATGATGTTTACTGTCCCCTTGTCAGACCCGCAAACACTGTGGCTCTTCTAGTCCACTTGATTTACACAGCAGAGCAGAACCAGTGCTGAGATTAGATTTTGCAGTCTTCATCTCGCCATGTATTGAATGCTCCCTCTGATTCCCTGTTAGAGCTAATAACTATATTTTCCCGAAAGGTTTGGGTAGTCCCCAGGCTTTAAGCCCCTTTGGAGTGTATTTCCTAGACATGATCAGAAAACACTGAAAACGTTAACTGACATGACAGACCAGGGCCATGTTTATAACTAGGCATGGTTTATGATAATTTAGATAATTTAGTGAAACAACATCTCATCAGTAACTGACCTAATGAACACTCCATAGCCCTTGCTATATAGTGTTACTTTCTGATGGATACGGGGTCATTGTGGAGTTGCTGTTTTGAATTCCAGCTTCAGTTCCAGGGCTATGTCAGTATAATGAATTCTCACTTTTTTTTTCCTTCTTTTGGCTAGAAAGAGGAGATTTTCATGACGTTTTGACATGATACTTAAGGTATCCAGCCCAGATCACTTTTAAAATGATGTCCTTTCTACGGAGTAGTCTTCAGACCTAAGAAGATGTTAGACAAGGTCAATTTCTGCTCGGATTTCTAAGCAATGAGAATTAGGTAGTGCACTGAAGCAGGTAGTAATCTGTTGGCTGTTAAGAGGGAAGATAATCTTATAAATCTGTAGGTGTTTGTTAAACAATGGGCCAGCATTGAGTCAGGGCAATTATAGTCTAGACAGATGTCTCTCTAGGGTGGAGCTAACCAACTTCAAATCAAGCATTTCATCCCACAAATAAAATCTGTAATAGGACCAGTCTGATTCTACCATTCTAGCTGAACTGACCCCTCTAGTAGCTTAGTGACTTGAGTCTGAAACTCATTTCCGGTTGATGAATGTTGTCTTGTTCTCACCCAGAGTAATCACTTCCTTAAAATCTTCATTTCAATATATATTTCACTTCATCAAAATAGCCCTCAATGGCAGCCCTAATTGAAAGGTTTTGTTTTTTAAACTTCTAATTCCCTAAATCTTCCTTGGTCAGCATTTTAGGACATGGCAAGGATCTTGGTTCAAATGTGTATGAGTGTCAATGTGTGAATGTCTATGCGTGATTTAATTCTTCAGTTGATGACTGGCAGATAGGAGACTCAAACGGTAATGAATCAATCAGCCATATCTGCCAATTAACTTTTCCTTAAGATCCATAGACTAGACATGTGAGTCCTGAGGAAAGAAAAAGAATGCAACCCTTGCCCTCTCAAAAGGAACAGGACATATCAGAATTATATAACGTTTGGCAGGGTGTGGAGGCATACACCTGTAGTCCCAGCTACTCAGAAAGCTGAGGTGGGGAAATCGCTTGAGTCTAGGAATTCGAAACCAGTAAGGGCAACATAGCAAGATGCGGTCTCTTAAAAAATACCATAAAAACAAACAATCACATATAAAGCTGTACATTTATCTTACCTCTTTATAGCTCATGTTTGGCATTTAGAAGGCTCTCGGTAGTTATTGGTTGAGAAATTGCCCATTAATCCTTCTCCCTCTTTGCATCCTCCTTTCTTAGTGTGTGTGCCTTGCGTTTATACATGTGTAGAGGGAGTGTCATGACCAACCTGTTCATTGGCTGTGTTTGCTGTTCATCAACAAAAGCGAGATGACATCATGATGAATCAGGTTTATCTTCACCTTTGAGAAGCACTCATTTTGAAAACTGAAAGTTCTCATAGCATTGTCAGTGATTCCCAAACAGTTTCTCCCTGAAATGGGGCATTTTCAAAGCTCCTGACAAGAAGTGTTGGACAAGATTGAAGCTGTTCACTGGGAATGAGTTCGATGTAAAATAACTGTGGGGAAGTAAAACATATGCTCTGTTATTTGCAGGAAATAAATGCAAAATATGCCCTAGGGAGCTAAAGTATAAAGAAAGCAAGACACTGAAACTAGATTGCTCTAATGCCATCCATCCTAAATTGTTGTATGGTGCCTGGCAATGATTTCCCCAAAAGGTTAGGGTGGTCTCCACACTTTCTAAATTATTTTTTTTTCCAAATATAAAACAGGAAGCTCAGACCAGTGCTTCTGTGATCATATCATATAAAAGGTTGTTAGGGTAGCAGGTAGAGTATGGGGGTATTATATTTTTCTTTAATTAGAGATAACTGGCGAGTGACATATTGAAATGAATTCTACTTTAGGGAATCACAGGCATAAAGCTGTCCCGCCATGCCTCTCATTCTTCACGATCTGTTAAGTTGCCACTCCCCATGTGCCTTTGTGTATACTATTTCAGACTCCACAAAGTATTTGCATACTACGTATATCTGAAAGATAATAACACCATTTCTGACTGAGGAAGAGAGAAAATCATTTAAAGCTCGAGTGATCCAAAAGATTCAGGTTGAATTTAGGAGTATTCTGAATAATGTTTCAATCAAAACACAGAATTAAACTGACTTGAAAGGACTCCGATGTCATCTACACAGACAGCTGTTTCTCAAATGTCCTCACACATCTTTCTTCTGTTTTATTATAAGAGTGGCCATCAGGCTATGATGATCTATAGAAGCTAACATGTCTCAGAGCCCGGCTTTTTTACTAAGAATTTTGAATTCTTTTCTTTCATTTATATCTTCATGATGTGTTTTTTGTCTTCCTCCTCAAGGGCTGGCTTTGTGATAAATGTAATTGATTTAATATTATTATTATTATTGCTTGATGATCACCTCCTGTATTCTATTCTAAAGAATACAGACTGCTTGTGTCATCATAAAGACCTAGACAGCCTGAAAGAGCAGCAGCAGAGAGGAAGTTTCAGGTCAAACTAAGAGAAGACAGAATGTCTAGGGCATGTATTCGGGTTGACTTCCAAGCTCACTGGATGTCCTGTGTATTACAGTTTGTGTTTAGCAGCAGGAAGAGTTATAATGGAGGCCCCTTCATTTGGCAACTGCATTTAAGGAAGAGTAGACAATGATGGGAAGAGCCAGATTGGAGGTCTCTAAGTGTGGCAATTATGGTTCTATTGACATTAAGGTCCAGAATATAAATGGATCTCCATGTTGCAAAGCTGTAATCAAGATTTAAATCTGCCTTATTCCTAGTGCTAGTGAAAGATACTGATGATAACTAGCATGTTACTGAATAATGCTCATAAATGTGAATCACAAATAACGTGTTTTGCAACGAGGCTTACATTTTTTGATTCTGTAGCTGCTAACAGGCACATAGAAGGAGATTAGGAAAGCCTATCATCTCTAGATTTAAATTATCAGCAACCTGAAAGTTTTCTGAATGATTATATTAGCTCTAATGAAAGGAAGAAAAGATGAGAGTTGCCTTACTCAAAGAATAGGAGGAAGCTTTGAGATTTTATTTTGTAAGATCTTACTATGTCTCTAGTACATTTCTTTTTATAAACAAAAAGCTACATAAAAGTGAACCCCTGCCCTCCTTAGCCTCTTCTCTCTTGGCCAAGGTACAATATTTTCTTCACAGCATTCAAGAGGAAAGAGAGGACATTTAAGATGCAGTGAGATGTGGCTTCCTGTGCCTTCCCTTCCTGCATTGTATCATTTTATGAAAGTAGGGCTGTTAGTTTTTTCAGTCTGAAATTGACATGACTCTGATTTAGTAACCTTTTGCCTTAACCCTTTCTAGCTTCTGTTTGCCGGAAAGGGTCCTACCGGTTTTGCAATAACCTGTAAGGCTCCTAAGCACATGGATTCTTTTACTTTCTCTTTTTCTTGACAAAATGCAATACCCCATTGAGTACCGCCTTCAACTTGCTTCCAAATGCACAATTGATAAGACAGTTTCATCCCAGGTTCTAGCATTAGATTGCTCACCCATCATTTTATGTACTTTTTCACAAAACAGATAGTGACAAGATAGAAAAATACATTTTTAAATTTTGGAGCAGATTAAGTGATACATGGATAACCTCTTATGTTCTCTGATATGTTTAATATTGCCTGGTCATAGAACACTCAATCTTTTAAAAGAATTAGACAATGCTGGGAAGACTTTAAAAAAAAAGACTGATTTGAGTACTCAGTTGAATAATAGGCCCTTCTTTATGTCACCATTATAAACAATGTTTTTCCTATTATCATCTTGAACTTTAAACTTTCCAAGGATTGAGAGTTCATAAATCACCATGAGAAAGTAGCTTGTTTTCCAGGTATCTGTATGGTGCTTGAGTGAGGGACTTTAAGATAATTATAAAAATCTATGAATAATCTGTTGGCTTTTTTTGTTTTAGGAGTGAGCTTACTCATACCACATGGTGCCATCCCAGAGGAGAATTCTTGGGAGATTTATATGTCCATCAACCAAGGTGAACCCAGGTGAGAGACAAAGAATGACATAGTAAAGACAGTTTAGGCTGGGCACAGAGGCTCACGCCTGTAATTGGGAGGCTGAGGCGGACAGATCACTTGAGGTCAAGAGTTCGAGACCAGCCTGGCCAACATAAGGAAACCTTGTCTCTATTAAAAATACAAAAAAAAAAAAAAAAAAAAAAAAGCTGGGTGTGGTGGTGCATGCCTGTAATCCCAGCTACTCAGGAGGCTGGGGCTGGCGAATTGCTTGAACCTGGAAGGCAGAGGTTGCAATAAGCCGAGATCATGCCACTGTAATCCAGCTTGGGTGACAGTGAGACTCTGTCTCAAAAAATAAAAATAAATATGGAATGGAACTTTTGTAGAAAATCTGAAACTATTAAGAGAAGGAGACTTAGAGGTGTATAGATGAGATCATGGACTCTAGAAAGGATAAAAGTTGTTGCAAAACTACTGGCCGAAGTGAAAAAGTACATGACTCCCCAGTTTCATGGCCACCAGTCTCTACATGGGAGACACCAAATGGAAAACAGTGAATTCTTAGACAGGTCAGTAGCAGGGCCACTTCATAAACATTAACTGTCTCACAGAGTGTTCCTCTTAAGGGAAAATATCCCCAGAGGCACTCATTGGTCCTAAGTATGAGGCAAATACATACAATGATTGATTCCTAATCCTTTTAAGGTCAGCAGAAGACCTACTCTATATAGCCTAACAGACAATTTCTTAGGCAGTTTTCGGCAATGTAAAAATATGATCTGAAACTTCAATAGCTTTCAGGCTTGACAAATTTCAGCAGCATTAAATTCAATTACAGGAACAAATACAAATCTTGTCACATTCTCTTTTAATGAAAGTAGTTGGTTATTTTCTTAGTGCAACTATAATATTTTTGGAAATGTTCTCTTCCTCTACACAAGATAAACCTAACTCCTCTTCAGAAAGCAATTTCTCTCATAAACTGGATATATACCTCTAGCATTTTTAGTCATAACGTCTTGGTGATTTTAGAATAGATTTTTGTTGTTGTTAGCAAAGAACACATGAAAGAAAAACACTGGGAGGAAAAAAAAGCCAGAGAAACAGATGGTTTAAACAGATTTTGATAGCTATTTCTATAAAAGTGTTTGTTGGTGCCCAGTGGTTTTAACTTTCTGCTGTACAGGGCTTGAGAGGCACGGAAGAAGAGGTTCTGCCAGTCGGTTGCTGGTGAGGCTGACTCTTAGAGGATTTGTGTGCAGGATGTCCTATGTTGGAATCTCATGTTATTGCCTCAGTTGTCTAAAGCTAGATTCTTTCCTGATAGATCTGAAACAGTGCTGGTGTCTAAACATCTCCAACTGGCAAGTGGGGGAAACGGGGGATCAGAAACTTAGGAGCGTTTACCCAAAACCTTAGGTTAGTTACTTAAACAGACCTCATAATGGAGTACCCTGTAGGAAAGTCACCTCTTTTTTATCCAGTGGGTTGATTTACTTAAGAAAGCAAACGTGTTTGACTTCGTGGTTATGGCCTATTACATAGATGCTTTAAAACATATCATGCTGCAAAAATCAAATATGAGGTATAATTCAGTCTGCCTTCCCTGAATCACAGCTTCCTACACACTCCTAGTTACGCATCCCCCTCCCTTGGTTGTTTTTGATCCAGTGAGCCTGTATTGAGCTTACTCCTCTCAAACCCGGCATCTTCCACCTTATTGCATGAGAGCCAACCTAGGGCAATGTCGTATTTGCCAAGGCACCTCATTTTTAAAGAGAGAGAGGAATAGCTAAAAACTTGCAAGAGGCCCAAGATCTCAAAAGACAGGTTCGCCTCACATGGTCACCGCTTGAATGCTTCAGAAGTTCCATGGTAACCAATTTGGTTTATGCTTCTGTGTCTACTGCTGTCCAAGAAGGCAGACAGAGACAGAGGATCTTGTCTAAGACTTTAGATCTGTGAGGTCTGCATTTTTCTCTCTACTAAACTGTGGAATAAAAACACAGAATTACAGGAAGCTGCACTTTCCTTTTTAGGTAGCTGAAACCTTCCCAGATGTTACCTCTCAGGAAATGACCTGTCTCTGGGCTACAGCCCATGTACCTTCCTTGGCAAGCCTCACTCCCCTTTGACAGCACAAAACTACTTAGAAAAACACTGAAAGTAGCAAATACCTTTTTACTACTACTTTTTAAGCTGGGGTGAATTATTTCATCTCTGCAAGAAAACTGCTTGGGTCTGAGTTCTTCAGCTTTTAAACTTGTGATTAATCAGGAAAAGGCCATTGTGTCATCTTTTCTTTGTAATATCCCTTGAAATCTCATTTTCATTTTGTGCTGCATGTCTGCCATCCTGAACTTGTGCTGAGAACAAGGCCTGGTTTCCTCAAAGTTCACGGAGCTGGAACACACTGCTCCATTCCTTTCATCTTTACCTCTACAGCCACTGCAGTCCCCTCCCTCTTGGTTCATCGGTGTGAGAACTGGATTCACGGACTCTTCGTAACCTCCACACACACACAGAACACAGCAGGATCTTCCAAACCACGTCTTTATGCTGTATTGCAATTAAAGTCTGCTCCATTTTTCCTATTGACTATACATTCCTGTTGCCGATGTCTGAGTTGCAGCCCCAATATAGCAGGGTGACGATTTAATGGAAGTGGAAGTGCTATGTTTAATCAGGGCTCTTAATCCATTCTAAGGATTGGGTTAAACAGGGGTAGAGGGGTGCGGGTGGCTTCCTGAAGATGTCACTAAACTGAGCCTTGAAAGATGAATAGGAATTTACCAGACAAAGGAGTAAGGTCTATCACTCAATGATTTCCACCCTCCAGAATACATTTTCCTGTAGTTTTCTGTAGAGGTTTGAGGGATAGAGGAGTCTAAACCCAGTGATTTTTTTTTACCTCCTTTAAAGTGACCCTAATGTCAACACATTGCATTCAACAGCTTCCTTCCAACTGTAGCCCAGGTCTTGCCACAGACAGAACAAAGGGTTGGTTTAATGCATTGTCCCATTTATAACAGAGAACATTTAGTGACATCGTAGGAAAACGGACTGGAGTGGCCTGACACAAAGGCCATGGCATGAAATTGGAGCTGTCAGAATTAGCCTGGTATCAGGGTATGTAAGCCCTCCATGCTAGATGTGGCCTCCTCCCTCCTCGGGGCTTTACCCCTTATGCAAGGCGGGAAACCAGCAGTGATCACTAAAAAAAAAAAAAAAAAAAAAATTAATTTGAAAAATTGGGGGTATTTCTTTTTATACATTTTATTGGGAATGGTTTTGAGGAAGAGAAATCTTTTTTTTTTTCTTGAGATAGAGTCTTGCTGTGTTACTCAGGATGGAGTGCAGAGGTGCGATATCCACTCACTGCAACCTCAGCCTCCTGAGTAGCTGGGATTACGGGTGCCTGCCACCATGCCCAGCTAATTTTTGTATTTTCAGTAGAGACAGGGTTTCGCCATGTTGGCCAGTCTGATCGTGAACTTCTGACCTCAGGTGATAACGCCAGTCTTGGTCTCCCAAAGTGCTGGGATTACAGGCATGAGCCAAAGGCTGGGCTTTAGATCATTTTTATAAAACTAAGGCATTCAAACAGGACTTAAAAAATCAACAATCTCAGAGGTTCTTGAGCCAACAATTTCAGAGGTGCTTGTCACCGATATTACAATAAGAGCATGATACAGATGTAGCAGGAAGTTCCTACTACTCCTCTCCCAGCTCTCCTTTTGCAACCCTCCCCACCCCATGGTTAGAGAGGAGAGAACTGGCCAGAAAATTATTATATGGGGCTTTCTTCTGAAAAGCAATAAAATGAAACCAAAGGCAAACATTCATTTCTTTTTCCAATTACACTGTCATGTGGATATTCCTGACCAAATGCTTAGACTAGAATCGAAAATGTTGTAAGTTGTCTTACTGAAGAATTTACAAAAGGACAGATGTTTTTGAATTTGGGCTTAGCCCAGATGGAACATTTCAACCACTTCTGTTTTCTGTTGTCAGATCGTATGATCTGCCCAGTAGGTACATTTTGGGGTAAGGATTGAGAAGGTAGAGATGGTGGTAATAGAAAACATTATCTTTTTTAGGGTGCTTAGATGCTATAGTGGTTTTAATAGCAAGGCATAAAATAAGAGCAAATACAAGGCTAGAGAGACAAAAAAAATCTAGCTCTGGAAAATGGGAAAGAAAGGATAGAACTTCATTCACGGAAATAGGCTCACAAACACTGCAGTATAAGCTATTATTGTGGAGATGATTGTGTTTTTTCTTCCCTAGTAGCAAAAACCACACACATAAAAACAAAATCATAAACACACATATACACACCTCATATTTCATGCAGACCTAAGCACTCAGAAATGTCCTTGGACTATTTGAAAGGACCTCATCTCCAGAAGAGTAAAAAGAGAACAGGCCTATATGTTTTATCAATGAGATTAAGAGATGGGCCAGCTGGCCATTCTCTTAATAAGAATGGAGTTTTTATGGTACAAATCTGTTTGTAGTGAACTATTCTTTATGTTATGGCAGACATTTGTGGCCATTCTAAACTACCCACCTCAGTAAAATATGAAACTGTCTATGCTTTTTCTGTCACCTTTGAGGGCCTTGATTTTTCAGAAGGTAACACACCCCCTCCTGCTGCTAAGTCCAGGAGTTTGAGACTAGCATGGGCAACAAGTGAGACTTTGTCTGTACAGAAAATAAAAATAATACAACAAAATAAGCCGGGCATGGTGGTGAACGCCTGTAGTCCCAGGTACTCAGGAAGCTGGCGTGGGAGGATGGCTTAAGCCTGGGAAGTCAAGGCTGCAGTGAGCCAAGATTGTACCACTTCATCCCAGCCTGTGCTATAGAGCAAGACCCTGTCTCAAACAACAATTAAAAAAAGGAGTCTTAAAAACCAAATTACACTATTTTAATAACTAGATGTTACTGAACAGTTATATAATGAAATATCTTCAAGGGACACTGTTACTGTGGATGGTTTCACCAGGAATAATTGTTAATGA